CGCATGTTCGTTCGGCCACTCCTTCCTTAGTGCGGTGCGACGTTCTCTCCGTTACACCGCCGTTTCACCGCCGCGCGACCCGCATGAGCGACCAGGGACCGGCCTTCCAGGGGTGTGGAAGCAAGGACAAGGCTTTGAAGATCTAGCATATCCAGTTGCCTTGATACATGATTTTCAGATGGTACTACATGATGGACATGCCCTTCGAATCGAAACTTTGCCGCTGCTCCATGAACTTGAGGGTCCATGGAAATTAGGGTAGCTATTGGAATCTATTGGATACTTCTGGGAATTGGATGGAACTTGCCACTGACATGTCGGACGCATGTGTCTTGGAAAGTGCAGCTAACTGCTTGCGAAGGCTTAGAGAAGGTGGCACCATCGCTGATAGCAGGGAAACGCGGTGTTAGTTGCTTGCCATTAATATATACGTACGGATTGATACAACACATGCATGATATGTGCGTGATCTACTTCTTCATTGGTTGATAAATCTCGTATTTTGTATTCAATCCAAAATTTTTTTCGTGCCTTGGGCTTTGGACCCTGCTGGCACCTTTCCTGGTCGTTCGTGTCTAGCTTCCCTGTGCACCATGTGCTGGGGCACTGCTTCCAGAGAAACATGGCTTCAGTACTTGACGTGCGCAGCAATGTCACTACGAAAAAGGAGCGAAGTTGCTGTCCACGGCATTGAGGAAAGGACGGCAATGGTTTAGATCCCTGTTGGATCCCTAGCTTCCTTCTTGGATCGCTGTTCCCATGATTCTGCGTCATGTTCGCACACGAGGTTTTCCAGGGGGAATGTGCCGCAGCTGTGGCACAGCTCCCACTGCTTCAGCTGTATCCCTGAAGCAATGTCAGTCCGCCTCAGACTTGGAGCTATGTCAGCGTAACACTGATTTCAAAGTTCAGGCATCGAACCGTGAAACTGGGGGAACAGTCCCTCTTAAAGAACACGCGTGTCCTTCAAGTGTCCTTCATGCCAGACGTTGCGAACGCTTGTCCCAGGGCTCAGCTTTTGCAATGTGGCCCTGTTGAATGAAAAAGGAGTTCCACCAGCAACATGGACATGGTGAAAACAGCACAACTTCAAAATCAACAGGGGACGGAAATCCCAACCATGCTCTCCACCATGTGAAACCCCTTGGAACCACTCTCACCGCAAAACAGCATCCAACTACTGCAGATGACTAGGGAACTCGCCAACTAGCCAACCAACTCATCAACTGCAAGCATCAAGTTAGATCCCTTGGACCTTGGGGAACAGTCACCAGATCGATCTTCGCAACAGTCACCCTGTGCTAACCCTTAGCCTTAGCAAGCAGTGAGCCCCGAACTCCGGAGCTCCACCCCCCTAGCTTCACTCAGATCCACTTCCATCGATCCGCTTCTTATCGCGCACCTCTGAGCTTTTCGCAAGCCACTCGCGCCATGGGCCATGCGCCGCGGCGCTGATGACCGGTGCTTGTGCCCTCCTTCGGCTCGCGTGTGTCGACGTGGCCCACACACTGCTGCGGCCATGCCGGAAGGGGCGCAGCCGATGCTTGCAGCGGCACAAAGAGAACGGCGCTTTCGGGGGAAGAAGGTCCAAACGTGGCTGTATATATTGGACTCTGCCCCGGAACACTAACAGTGAGCAGGGTCTAATGTATATATAGATGTTTCATGATATGATAGGTCAACAGGACATAAGACCTTTGACCATTTCAGGGTAGGCTGCAGATCAACCCACTTCCGCATCTCTATTGGTTTTGAACCATCTCAGCTGTAGTGGAAAAGAAACATCCAAACACTTAGGATGATGGAACATCCTCGTGTTGGGCTACACTCCATTTGGGGGTGTTCATGCATCTGGTGCCAATACCCGCAACAAGTGAGGTTGGGCCACTACCTTTGACTTGACTTGGGGTCACGTGAGACTGAGACCAGGATAGCTGTTCCAAAAAAGGAGTGAGCCGTTAAACCATGGTTCCTACCCTTGTTTGTGCATAACAGCCAGTGCGTAACGTGATGTAAGATATGATATGTATATATATACCAATACAGGTAATACAGGTGCATACTGCGTACTAGTTAGAGACAATCCGTGTAAGCCTTCTCAACCAGGAGATTTGTGACTGACTGTGTCGTCTATAAATCAAATCATTGTTTCAAATCATTGGCTTCTCCACCTCCAATCGCTCTCCACGGATTCAGGCAGGCGCAGAGGCGTTTGTTCGAGCGACTTTTCGAAGGAATACCCTTTTGAGGAAGGTCTGTTTGTTGGAATGGTTTTGTTGGATTAAAAGTGCAGCACCCATTGCGTGGATTTGTGGCAGCCCCCCCTTAGGCCCCTTAGGTAGTGACAAAACCCTGAACAGCATCTTGCACACATCAAATTGGATTAGACGGCAACAGACCTCCTTGGAGTGTCTAGCTTGGCAACATCAAGCACTATGAAATATGTTCCTTTGGCTTTCTGGGTTCTGATGTCCGCGGTCCCAGGAAAGCTTCCCGCGCGGGGCCTGCGGATGTTCCTGCTGAAGCTCTTGGGGGCTACACTGGCAGCGGCCCTGCTGGCAGCAGTCCTGGTCGTCACCAAGGCTACAGCTCAGGGTGAGAAGGTTCATTTAAGCGGTAATTGTACGAGCTGTACGTGGCATGTGAGCAACACACCCGGCCCTGAGTAGCAGACAGTCCCTACACGTCCCTGCTTGTGCTACAAGACCTTGACTCCAGTCCATCAGGCGTCCGACTTCCCCCGCGCACGCGCATGGGAAGAAGGCTTTTATGCAAAGGGGCGAAGCTTCAGCTCCTTAAGCCTTGAGAATCTGACGGAAGCGACTGAGAACGCCGAGACGCTTGGCTGAGAGTGTCTCCCTTGCACGCAAGACGTCTCTTGATGTGCCACCGTCTCTTGATGTGTGCAAGTGTATAATGCAACTGACTCAGACTGCAATGGTTCCTGTTTGAGTTTGGGGAGGGGTGAGGGTTGAGTTCCACATAATTAGTTAATTAGCCGAAGCGGCTAAACTAAAACCTTGACTTGCCAAGGTCACTGCACGGGAGAAAATGTGCGATAGACCGGGCAAGTCTTCAACTGTTAGAATGTGTGCTTCCGATTTGATCTGTGTTTTCTCACCTGCGGTTGGTAAGGCAAAAGTGACATGGTTACTTTCGCACATCGCACGGAACTCTATCTAAGACACTCATACAAACACTGCAGAGAGAGAGGGGGAGGGAGACAGACAGACAGACTTTGGGACCTTTGCACCACAGCTGAGGACAACAGTGGAATCGAGTCAACCAGCTGAGCTGAAAAAGACGAAGGAGCCCAAGCCCTCGGCTCGCCCGCACCCGCCGAAAGCAACAGCGGCTGCGAGCAAAGCGCCGTCGACACAGAAGGTGGAGAAGCCCGCCGATGCTGAACCTGCAGGTGTGGATATGTCATGTGTTGTCTTGCTTGGAGGGGAAGGGGGGTGGAATGGGGGAACCAAACCGTGAAGTCTTTGTCCCAACATGTTTGCCTCAAGAGACATGCATGTAAAGATTCGTTCTGCCCCACTATTGGCAAAGAATGACTGTGGAAAGTATTGGCAGATCTTTTATGAGGCGCGTTTTGAGCGGCAAATCCCTAAGCCATGCAAGACTGCAGCTAGACCGAACCTGGATCGCCCCACGAGATTCGGGCCACCACTATGCAGTGGCCGTCGTATCACTGCATGTCGTATCTGGATGCCCTTCAGGAACGGGTAAGGAGACCGCAGTCGAAATCCATGTGTGCTTCTGCAGCGATGACACTGATTGGCGCCCCCCTGGCAGCTGCCATCAATTCAACCCTGACCAACTCGAAGCGTGCCTGGACGATGCGAAACAACGTGAGAAAGCGCTTTATTTTTCGTGTGGGTTGCAGGGCTTCCGAACATAGGCGTTGGATGGATTTGTTTATAAGACTTAAGACATATTAATATAGACAACCTATGACCTATGAAAACAAAGTGAACACATGTGAAAACTATGGGATTTTGATGAGCCACAGTGGATTGGGGCGGCTCTAATTGGCTCACCAAAGGACAGGAACACTTTGTAGATTGACGGAGTCTTGAGAAGATCTATGTTTCAAGCCTGGACCATTGTCGGAGCTACATCAAGGATAAGACATTCTTCCGGTGGTCCAGGGGGGCCATAGATGACCCTACACGAACTGGTTCAACTGCACATATATATCTTATCATATAGCCGTCCTGGAGTAGATAGAACATGGGAAAACCCAAAATCAACAGGACAGTGGTCATGTGTTTGGATTGTTTCATTCGCATTCTTTGCTCCAGGATGGTTGTACACTGAAATTTGCTGTTTTTGCTAGGGCTCCTGACCCACATCCTGAGAAGGTAGGGACATACCCCCTGTCACCCACCCCAACCACCGAAATATACCGAAATCGAAACAGAGGTAGGTGGAGGTCCAGGGTAATTCTGTATCTACTTTATGTTTGCAAACTGAGGGGTCTGAGGGCACGAACTGAACTGCCATGCCACTTAGGGGGGAGCCAGTACAGTGACCAATTGTGGCTCTTTAGCCAAAACAATACAGAAATTGCTGTACCAGTACCGGTGTGCTTGAATTGTCTAGCTTTCAACCGTGTGAACTCATGCTGTCGTAGCTTGAGTTTGATCGTAGCGTGAGTTCTGAGCCTATTGGAGCCTATTCCGACGTGTATCCAACCTGTTCGGGTTGAAATAGAGAAACACAGTCCACTGCTTGTTCTGGAAAGAAGCCTGAAACTCACCGAAGTTCTGAGCACAGAAGGCATACTGTGGCCCATGGATTAGACTGGTTGTGAACGCCACGCCGGCTGGTCCAACGTCTCCATGGTCCGTATTTTTAGATTGTATAATTCTACTATGGGATCATAGGTAGTCCCTCAGGCGTTTCCTCCCTGGTCATTCCATTTTCCCTCTTTACATCTCTTTACTATAACACAATCCACTGTTCTTCTCATCTCTCGTCACACACGGTCGATGCTTCTGCGTCCGTCCACCGATCCAGTCGAAGGACCCAAGTCCTTGGTCTTCCACTTGATCACTTCGACGGAGTTGGCCCCGGTGGTCTCTCGGGCCCTAATCACTGTGCTGCCAGTACTGGGCGCGCAGCTTCAAGTCCACTCGGATGCACTGGTGCAGAAGCGCATCAAGAGCACCTCAGCTGAGAAGAAAACAGGTCCAAAAAGAGATCTATAGTGAGTCCAGTCCCAGGAGAGGTGTCCAGTCCAAGGAGGAGGTACTCTTTGATAAGAGCAAACTTGAACCTGATGGTCCTTTGCCACAGGCGCTGCGCCAGGCCAGTTTCCATGGTTTTCACTACCTTACTGACACCGGTCACTACCTTAGCCTCCAACTGGACCATGGACCATGTGGCAGTTGGAGGCCAGACATCATGTCACATGGTGTGGAATCCAGTGGAATCCTGTGTTTGCCAAAGACTTGATGTCTCAAGATAAACCTCATGATATGTCCATTGTCCGCACTTGCACCGTCATATGTCCTTCCACGTTTGTTAGACAAGGGTCAGTTTGAAGCAGCCTTGTGTCGCTGACCTCGGAGGGATACGGGACACAAACCGCACCTGACAGGTCCTGCATCCTCACAAAGATCTACCATGCTTCACACATGTTCATGATGTCCTGGGTAGTCTTTTCAGGTATGTATATATATATATATATGTTCAACCTTTACTTGGGATGATTGAGCCCTTTGATTGAAACCACCAACCAGCGTCCCATTGAAGAGAACTTATGTTTGGCAATGTCCTCTTGGAAAAGGGTCGCATTCCATGATTCAGGGAGGGTCCCTTCGCGACTGCAGGCTTGATCAGCTATCGCTCCAGCTCGGGTGCACGCAAGGGCTTGGCCAGCGCCTTTAACTTTGCACCCTTCTACTTGGAGGAGAACCAATCCCCGAAAGCGCCGAAGAGTTTGGAGGTCTCCAGGTCGGTGGCGGGAAGCAAGGATCGTGTTACGCATTAGTAGTTGGAAAGCTTCGTCTACCGTCTCTCGTGGAATGGGAGGGGCTAAACATAGCACCCACCGCACACGACGGATAAAAGTCCGAAGCCATGTGAATGTTCTGTAGCTATTTGGCTTCTGGAGGGATAGACATTTCCCTCTCGACTCTCGATGACTTATGTGATGCGTGGAAGCACCAAAGGGTTGCAAGACAACAGAGCTGCACACATGTTGCTTTCATACATGTGAATTGAAAAAGGCTGACATAGCACGATGAAATAATTGCCAAATCCCGTTGCATGGGTCGGGAACCCTTCCTTTTTTCTACATGTTTTTCTCATACAACCCCACCGGCAGGTGTTTTGTCCGAGCACACTGCAGTCCATTCTGCACAACAGGCATTCCGGTAGTTGCCACCTGACTAAAGCACGCCCATCCCCTGTTTCAGGTGGGGTTGTAGTTTCATGCCGTTTCGAATTGATTGGACTTGTCACATGAGTTCGGTTGCGCCACTGGAGTTCGGTCTTGCCGCTGCCCCGTCGGGCGTCCTCTTCGGTGGTTCGGTCCGACGACCGAGCCGAAGTGCGCGGAAGCAAGGACTTCCTGCGTGACGGTGGGCTCCCAAAGAGGCGGGGAGCTGAAAGGCCGTTGGTGAGAGGTCAAAGGACAAGAGTGTCCGACAGGTTCTGAGGAGATGGAGGGACAGACTTCTGCATTTCTGGTTCCTTTTCGTGTTGCTTTCCTTCCTCATTCTTGCTGGATCGCTGGAAAGCACCAAACTTCAGACTCTTTTGATGCGAAATGAGCCGGGAAGAGCTGGCAGACTGCCCGCGACCCCCCCCAAAACGCAGAAACCATCGCCCACAACAAGGCTCATCTACTTGGACACTGATGTGCTGCTCTTGGGCGACATTGAAGCCCTTTGGAAGGCCGAGTCCAAGATTTGATGTGTGATTGGGGTGCTTTTTCATGTTTTACGTGGGGAGGCAGTGACTCCACAGGTTTGCTACAGTATTTGTATGTATTTGTAATCTTGACTTTTGGGTCAAGGGCACCCCTCATCTTTAATCTTCACAGAACCTCCTCCAAGATGGCTGGAAGGTCCAATAGGCAATCATTGGGAATCAACAATGAACACCTCATGACACAGTCCCTACATGAAGGTCATGAAGCAGAACCAGGTCAAGAAATATTCGAATGACGACCCTGAAAAGATCGAAGGGCAAAAGCGCAGCAATTCATGTTGAAGGGGAGGCCAGACTGTTCGACCCCGTTCATGCTGTTCGTCGGACATGAAGTCCTTCAGGTGGACATGAAGGGTCTTCCAGCAGCAGCAGTGGAGGACTGTTCACAGAGTTTCGATCCTCAGCAGAACGTGTGGAACAGGACTGGGACGGATTTTTCTTCGACCCCTGTTTGACACCATCTTTGACGCCAGACCTGCAGTTGCTTTGAAGTCTTCTCCCTGGAGTCTCATGGACTTCGACTTCAGGGCCCACATATGGTCAGAATCCCCGCTCTCAAGGCCGGCTTGCAAATGGCCTTGAATTCCTCTCAACACCCGCTGAAGACCGGTCAAGGACCAGACGGACCCACCAGTCCTCCACCGAGATCGATCTCAGGTGCTCGAAGAACCCTTTGCAGTACTCCAAGACCCCAAGTCTCAAGGCCAACGCCAACGACTTAGGGTCCTTTGGGCTCCCATCATTTGGGCTCCCCCCGTCGGACCGAATGGGGGGTACTTACAGTGTTTTGGTTTACGGTTTTGGAGCTAGCGTCTAGTGTGCTCTCCGCACGTCCGCTCCCGGGTTTGATGGGAGGCTCGCAGAGGCCGCTTGACCGAACTGGGCCCCCCCACGGAGCAACCGGAATTGATGGCGAGCGAGAGGTTCCTGGTTGTGTGGATCTGCGCTGGATTGTCCAGGTGAATTCATGTCCGAATGTGATTTGGATCCCGGTCCCTTAAGCAACTCCAGCCCTCCAATGAGCGTGACTGCGCAACATGGTGAACCTCACCAGATGCACGACAAGCTCTTTTCTGTTGGCAGATTGCAGCATATGGCAGCCCATGGAAAGAGAGGTCCGGCAAACGACGTGAATGCCAGGAAATGCCAGGAACCATGTCAATCAGTATAGCTCACCATGCTAAAGTGGAGCCAAAAACCCAAGAAGTCCTCAGCCCCCCCTAAGCTCTCGCCAAGGACATCTACATCGACTTTGATGCGGCTCAGCTGCAGGGGGATGCAGGGGGTGTAAGAGAACCACTGCGGAAAGTTCAAGATTCTTTCGAGATTCTTAGATTGATTCACTAACGATGGATCACCAAAACGAATCTCATGATCTCACTCTCTTCCATGCATCGTGCGAGGCCATCGCCGAATCATCAAGCGACCCGTGGGTCGAGCATGTGTTGATCCAGCGTCGGGTGTAAGTTGGCCAGAATTCTGAAACCACAAGAAACATGGTCGCAGAAAGCCAGAAAACCCGTTGCACAGCATTGGACCCACCTACCGAGTGAGTTTTGCTCGGGAGCCAACCTGCACACAAAGAGCATCAAACAGCTAGAACTCAAAGGCCTTTCCAGGCTAATGGATTTGGAAAAATATTTCATGATATTTCTCCATTGTGGCAGCGAAGGGCCACACTTGAAAGCAAGGCAGGACAAATTTGCCTCCAGATTTTTGCAACTCATCCATTCCTAAGGAGATGGAGGCCCTAGGGCTCAAGAAGACTGGTGCGCGACTCAGTCGACCCTTTTCGACCATGGTCGCAGCTTATGTGAACAATAGGTGCCTAGCGCTTCCTGTCGGGGTGTCCATTGGAGACTGGAAAGGTGTAGGGCAGTCCAGCCAGGACCCCTTTTAGGGGTCTTGGTCATCCAACATCTTGGACCAGTCACACGCAGTCAAAGGGCAAACTTCTTGGATGCTCAACTGGTTTGATGTTCACTGGGGGTTCGGCCGCTAGCCGCCAGACTTGCGTCTCAAAAAGACATGTGGTAATTGGACGAATTCGCAGCTTTGGCTGCATATGTTCGCTTTGATTTGGTTATTCAGAAGGAGACGTTAGAAAGACTTCAGGAACTGAAAATGGCCCGCCTTGGGGTGGGTGAGCTTCAGTCCTGGTCCCAGATACAAAAATTGCGGATTTGCCTGATTGACTGGTATTGACTGTGATCTTTTCAGCCCCTAAAACAATTGCACCATATATCCTCCATGATTCCATGATGGTTCTATTATACTATAGCAAGTACTATAGCAGTCAGGGATCGCTGGCGATATGGGGTGCTTTTTTTGTGTGGAGCGGACGGTTGATATTTCTGCAGCAGGGCGGTCCCGCTGGCTGAGGCTTGAGCAAGAAAGACTGTGTCTTCAATCGCGGCATCTTCGTGATGGACGTGGCTAAATGGAAGCGGATGCAGATCACCAAGGACGAGAGTTCAGGCAGTTGAAGGTCTTTTTGGAACCCGGTTTGAGGAGATGACATGTTCAATTAATTGGTGAAAAAGCCAAACCGAAGAATTGAATGGAGTGGCCCCGTTTTGGAGCAGCCCTGAAGGAGATTGAGCACTGGATGGCCAAGTACAAAGAGTCCAAGAAGGAGATGTGATTTGCTGATGGGGGTTGGGTGAAGCGGATTTGGGATTGAGAACCCTGAGTCATGTAAGCGAGCCTACCACTGCTCATAAACCAAATGGCACGGACTGACCCCAACATCTGGAATCTATGCCAAAATCTGCGTCGCCTCCAGATGTTGTTACCTTTGCTGGAAGTCTCGCATGATGATTGACGGACCACTGACGGACAGAACGGCTGCCTGGGAGTGTGGCCGAGTTGGCGGTCAGATCGCTGATGACGATTCTTCGAGTCATGGACGACGTTTGTGTGTTTCTTTGTGTGTTGCGGTGCTCTGAAAATTTGGAAGTCTGAAGGACCTCTACAAATTCGGAATGTCCCAACCACCATGGCTTCTGGCACTGCACAAGAAGTACCACAAGCTAGGTTGGACTCTCAGAGAAGTGATGCAGGGGACATCTGTGCTTGCTCCCAGATGCTGGAGGGTTTATTCAAAATGCCGGACCTTCTAGCACACAAACCTATATAGAAATCTTGAGAACGTCGCATGTAGCTGAGCAGGTGCTCGCAGTGCTTGTGATTGGCCTAGCAGCACCCATCTTCTGTGTTGAGACTGTTGGGGAAAATCGTAGAAGGCTCGGCTAGGTCAAGATATGCCCACAAATATGGCCTGTACAAAGTAGTTGCGGAGTACAGAGAAAACTCAATGGCTTTGTTGCTGCCCCATCATTCGCATCGTTCATATCACACCATGCGGTGTCTCGGTCTCATTTCCGGTGAGGTTTTGCCACGGTTTTGCTGTCAGAGATGGTCCCGATGTTGTTGCGGTGGTGGCGAACTTGGATAGGTTTTGGAACGGAGTTCCACTGCCAAGAAGTCGCCTCACCTAAACAGCCACGGTGCATGGTCGTGCTGGTTTGGCAGGCAGTTGACGCCGGCGATTGGTAGCGTCCGACGTCACGCTTTGCACCAACCTAGTAGCAATATGATTCCTCAATAGTTTGATTCCTACCAGTAACGATGGCCTCCCACCAAGTAGCGATGGCCTCCAACCTAGTGGCAATGGCCTCCAGTAGTGACGGCCTCCCTAACACCAGTTCCTTGGAGACCTGATGAATGCCCGATGAACTTCAGCACCCCCCCAAGAAAAGAGGCAAGTTGATGGGGGCCTTATTTGAGGCTGGGCCATCAGGTGTACAGAAAGAGTTCTGGAGGGCTTCTTCTTGTGGTGATGGGGCCCTGCACCAAACTTGTGTGCTCCAAAGTAGTTCGACAAGCCTCGTGATCAGCCTGACAGTCGACCTGAGGGTCCTCCACCACCAGAACCAGACCTGGGAGGAGATAGTTGCACCTCAGAGTGCCCTGTGCCTGGGCCGTTCGCCCTCCTCTCTTCCAGGTGAAGAGTGGAATTGTCGAGGCCTTGGCCGTGAGACGTTGTCCTTGAAGGAGCCCAAGATGAGGACATGCATACAGTGGTTTCAGAGTAGATGGCACTGGCACCCCTAGAAATATATTGCTAGACGAGGCTCTCTCTCTCTATATAATATATTTTCGTATGCAAAAATATATACTGTAAACCACCAAACTTGGGGGGCCCTTGCGCCATCTCACAAGTCGAAGACCTCCCAGAAGTCGCCAGCTTCTTCAGGAGCTGAAGGAGCTCAAGACGGAGCTACACCTGGATTTCAAAGCCTTACAGAAGGCCCGGGAGACGTGGCGCTCGGTGAAGAGGTCGCGCAGAGTACACTACGACTCGGCTTCGCCCCAGGGAAAAAGAAGGAGATCTTTGCGGATTCGCATGGGTGGCGATTCGGTTGGTTGGATTATGTTGGATTCAGGCTTGTCCAATGTGTGGCGGGTGTCTCCCAAAAACCGTCAAACTGGTGGGCTCAGCCCAGGTGGCTCAACATCGTGAAGAAGTACCCAGTGGCCAATCCACACACTTTTTCCGCCACGCCAAGACCCCGATTGGTCCCTGCTTTCATCCCAGTGGCAAGCCATCCCACATACCTTGAAGATTACTTTTCAGGTGTTTTGTTTTTCTCACGTGGAGGTGGTATGATGTCGCAAAACAGATGGAAGTAAGCTGAGTTTGAACATGTCATAGGCCAACTTCCTTGCGAGGGAAGTCGCATGTAGAACAGCATCACCTTTAGATGAAGAGGAGCGGAAGTTGATTGAAGGACATTTTAAAGCTCCAGGCCTTTGTGAATGAGCTAGAAGCCATCAGCCTGCAGATTAACACACTTTCAGCATGGGCCCTTGGACCCCTACTTTTGGGGAAAGAAATCCTGTACCACCAAAAAGCCTGGAAAACCATGGAAAACCCGCGTGTTTGGCCATGACGTCTGAGTCTAGGGGCGCTTCAGCCTTCAGTTCCCATCTCCAGGTGGGTGCACGGGCAATGGGCGACCAAGCACAGCCCTACATCGCGCAGGGAGCTCGGCATGGGTTCCTCTTGTGCAAGAGCAGTCAAATAGATTGTAGAGCTTCGCAAACCGGCGATGCCGGTTGGGCGCTTGTTCGCTACCGTGTCAGTTTCTGATGTTTTTGGTTTTCTTTTTGCGGCCGTCCGTTGCCTTTGATTCTTGCTTGGTGATTATGGTTGTTGTTCCTTTCGCATGCCCCGAGACCTCGTATCAAACACTTTTGACGCGCGCGTGCGCAAAAAGAGACCAGGCAAAATCCCTCAGGCTGGTGGTGGAGAAGCCCTTTTTAATGACCAAAAAGATGGAAAACACTGTAAATATCAATATTTGTTGCTGCTCGAGGCTTCAAAAGTGCACCAAAACCACGCTATTTGCATAGTGTTTGATGCTTTTACGCCAGGAAACCAAGTAAGTACCGATGGTTTTGAGCTATCGAGTGCTCAAAACCACAGTTTTTTAGCTCGACTTTACAAAAACACCGTAAGGGGCGGGGTCCCGGCATCAGGAGCACCCGCCCGTAGCTAAAGCTCAGCTATAGGCGATAAGCTACACCATACGGCATAGCCGGAATGGGCTAACATGCGGGTGCCGCCGACCCCTATTTGGAGCAAGTAAGGCAAAGCAGAGCAAGCGCGACAATGTTTGGTTTCTTCATGAGGTTCTCGTGACAGCTGATCAATTCGAATCACCACGGGCATCAAGGAGTCAGACGACAGCCTCCAGTTTGTTCGGCATGTTCCCTATGGCTTGTCCGTAGAAGAGACGACCTTCAGCTGTTCTTCAGGTCCTGCTCCAGAGAGGCACAAATCCTTCATTTCAATGGGAAGCTGAAGCCGTGGCGGAGCCACCGATGGGCTTGAGCCCCAGCGGGCGGGTCAGTGATGAGGATGTTAAGGCTTAAGCAGCTTGTGAGGTGCACAAGGTGGCAGCCAGGCACACCTGCACGGCTTGCACCTGGTAGATTCCTGGATGTGTTATTCACGCAAGATCGGTTGAAGGCATGAAAAGGTGGGCATCGTCAGGGTTTTGGTGATCCTTCGGCGTGCAGGACATCTTGCATGTGAAGGTCGTCACTTTCCTTCTAGTTGAACGCACTTGGCCGAACTAGTTTTAGCGACTTGAGACTCTCTTCTAGACCTATGCGCAGTGGACAGAGTCCATGCCATTTTGCAGGATGTTTCTCACTGCTAGGTTTGCTCCAAGACCAGTGGACCGTATTGAACATGTTTCATCACTGAACCCTAAATCATACTCCTGGACCGTGTGACACTAGCCTTTCCGTTTTCATCCGCTTTCCTGTGGATTGAGCCCATTGCTACCACTGGTGTCCAACGTATGGTTCTTTGATCCTCCGACCACTGGAACTCAGGGTTGGAACCCGATAGGTGAGTTTCTTGTAGATCAGGAGCAACCACACCCTAGACTCTTACAAGTGCTAAAGCCTCAGCTAGACAGACCAAGTGCCTTTAGGAAGAGCCCTTCGGCCAAGTCTTTCGCAAAAATGACGGCCATTTAACAGGTTGTTTAGTGGAGAACTTGGTTTCTTGTGTTTAGAACCTGTATTGACTGTCCCGTGCACAACCCGTATGATATCCATATGTGATATACCCCTAAAGGAATCTTATTTTGCAGATGGATATTGAGAAACCCGGTGTTTGTTGCAAAATCTGAGTTATTAGTCATTTCAAGAACCTACATGTCTTGCTACGGCAGCAACAACGACTCCGACTGCTACTGCTACTATACTCTTTTATACTATATTTGCATGTTTCACATAATAAGATGTTATACTATATTTATGTGTTTTTTGCCCATCATTTATATACATCAGGCATGTACGTCCTCACTCATCCTGGCGCCAGGTTCGAAAGAAACCAGCACCCATGTGCATGGTGCACGGAAAGGCCGAAGATTGGCCAACGTCGAAACCGTCGGACGTCCAAACTCGATGGCCTGGACCCATCGAAGCTGTTTGTTTCGTGCAGGCGTTAGGCAGATGGATGGAACCTGAGAAAGATTCTGCCCTTAGCCTTTCAGACGTTTCAGAACTCCAAACTGGTTGCCTTCAAACGTGTTCAACTACTCACACAAGTCGCGTGATCTGAGTAGATGCATAGAACTCGGTCTAACCTTGCTTGGTGTTGGCAATGATGCATCTACCCAAAAGCTTCAATTGTGGGACTCAGAAGTTGGATCAAGACAACTAGCCCATAAGATTGGTTGAGCCTGGTTGTCAGGCATCCATGTTGATTGGTGCCGTGCCAGACGTGCCAGACCTTCCCGACCTTGGAGAAGAAGAGCGTCCTGGACATGTCGTTCGTGCGCTGCGCGGACATTTGGCCGCTGGGTGCGTGGAAGAGCGCGCGCGCGAGAGAGAGAGAGAGAGATCCAGACTTGCCCTGGAATGTTGCGTTATTTTCGCGTGTTTTCGCCGGGAAACTTTTTCACTCACTTGCTGATCAATCTTGAAATGATGTGTGTTGTTTGCCCGAACTGGTTTATTTGCAGTCCAGCTGGTGTGGAAAAAGTCGATGTTTGTCTTGTAGCAACGGCAATGGACCTTTGCATTCCGACTGCAGGGGGCATCTATATTTTGGTTGCACAGGAAGGCCGACTGTAGAACCCATTGGTTGGGAGGCCCTTCATTGTGACAGCAAACCAAAATGAGCCACCAAGAGAAATTTTGGATGTGTTGGAGCCACCCGCCCCTTATTGAATCTACGCAGATACGCACAGATATATGTCTCAACCCGTCTGAGATCAGAAGCCATTGTTCCTTTACGCAGCTCATGTCCGTTTGACCAATCAGGCTTTTTGACAGTAGCTTGAAAGAGATGCAATTGTAGATCTTTCGCCACCTTGCAAGAATGGACAGAAAGACATATGTATCATTCATGCGAGGGGCTCCCAATCGTCGAAATCTTATCAATCCGCCAGCTGTGCAAGCTAGACTCAGTACAAAAAGGCGGCAAGAGAGAAGGTGGGGCAGAGCCCCAAGAGTTTCAAGCACCTGCTGTCACTGTCGATGAGGTCGAACTTCCTCTCCATGCCCGCAGCCGAGCTTCTGAATTCCACTGCGCAGCAGTTCTACCGCGCCCGGCCCGACAAGCGAGCCTGAGAGCCAAAAGAGGGGGGACCGCGGATGGGATAGACCAAGTGTCGACTCAAGGGTGGATGAAAGAATATAGGGCAATGTGAGTGGCAATGTGGTTCATTATTCTTCAAGCACGTTAGTAGCACAGGTGAGGATGTACAGTATCCAGGGCATCCATGTTTGATTCCTTTCTTTGGGGTGTGCCGGGTTTGGGGTTTGGGGGCCTATGGCAACGTTTTCCCTTTCTCCTTCTCTCAGCTCATGTCCCGTTGTTTCATGTGGTTTCCACGTTTTACTGATTTTTACTCCAAGTGAACATTTTTTCATTTGAATTTTGAATGGCGGTGTGCGGCATGTTTCCTCAACGCTGCACCCGGAGAGCGGTCACCTGAGGGTGAGTGGAGGGTGTTTGGTTGGCACATGCTGCCGAAGTAGGGCGGTGAGCTTCGGCCAAATCGGATCAAAGAGGTTTCCAATGTGGCCGAAATGGCTCAAGCGACGGGGGCGTTTCGGAGATGGTGCTTGGTCGCCTGGCTGCGTTGGGGGCGATCGGTGCTCATGCGCAGAGTTTGGAGGAATCGCCTGAGGCAGGAAATGGCCTTTGCTGGTACAACAGCGACAGGAGCTATGATCGCTGCTGCCGGCAGCGGGATCCAGACTGTTGGGTGGGAATCTGGGTCACTGCAGACCTGTGCTGTTACAACATCACGCAGCAACAGCAGGAGTGCTTCGATTCAATGGAAATGCGCGTGGAATCCAAGCTGAGAAGGCTTCATGATATGGCTGAGATGGCAGCTCAAGTTGCAAAAGAACACACCTTTTGACTTATGGATTGTAATGTATGATCATGCGTGTATATACATATATTATGCATATATATATATATTGGTCGTGTTTGGATTCCGAGTTGTTTACCAGTTCTATCTTCGACCTGAGTTTGTTGGATTGCCAAGGGGAAATGGCCCATATTAGAACGATTATATAGTCGAGAACATTGCAGCGGTGCAATGTCAAGAGGTGATCCAGACCCAGCTGTGGCCAGCAGTTCTCACCAATTCCCCCACCGAAAATACAAAAAGCTTCAACTTCAGCAAGCCAGGCAGAAGAGGAAGGTTTGATGGAGCAAGTTCCTTGGTTGCGGTGTTTACTGCGTTGCAGTTGGATTGGTCATGCTGACCTGGTCGTTCGCAAGACTCAGTTGGAGTCTCTCGAGCCCAGTTTAACATCGCACTAGAACTTACCATGTGCCCGGAAGGTCTCGGCTCCACCATGTTGCCGGACGCGAAGGTCGAAGGTCTCAATCCCCCACTGTCAGGTCTTGGTTCACGCTATAAATTAAGCACGCCCCGTGCTTGTAGCCAAGCCAGCACTTATGATGTGAGCCCGAAGTTCAGAGGAGGGCCTTTGTATTTTCCTGTTTAGGCCTTCCCTAAAGTAGACTATTGATTGATAACCCCCCCTGCCAGAATGGTTTTTACATCTCCATCGGGGTGATTTCTTAATCAACAGCCTTCATTGCATGATGACCGCCTTCTTCGGCAAGGCTAGCAAGCACGCCCTATGAGAACACCACCTCCAACTCGTCAGCATACCTCAGCCTCTAGATCAAGGCAGCCCGGAGTGTTAGAGAATCCCTACCCCCTTATGATGGTTCCGGGAGGGGGGACCTCAAACATAAAAAGTTGCATTTTAGGGTGGTGACCCTAGGGGGTCCAAAAATGTAACTTACCCCAGACACCATCGAAACTTGCAACCTGGCAGGCCTGAACTTACATCGTTTTAACCCCCCCCAACCTGTGCGTTCGCTACCTAGAGCGTTAGCGGCGTTAGCGGGCGCAATTGCTGCCATTTGCTTGCACAGATGCCGCCAGTTTCATGGAAGATCATACCGAAGAAAAGACCACACAGAGCAATCAGCATCAATTACACTTCATCATACTTCATTCATCTTCAACATTGCGCAATCAAATAGCAGACTCACATGTCCCCACTCAGGACCCAAAAGGAAGGGGGACCAAAACCAAACCGACACATAGCAGAGCAGAATCACTGCTTGTTGTTGCCCTGGCTGCTCGCCCCCTGCTAGAAAGCAAAGATGAGGGAACAGCAGTTGGTCTGAGTTATCAGCAACAAAGAAGAAAAGGAAACACACCCAAATCAAACTGCCAAGCAAAAAGGAACATGCATGTTCCCACTCTGGACCCCAAAGGAAGGCGACAAAGCGAAACCCGAACATAGCAGAGGATCATCCCCATGCTACACAACAAGGGAGAGGTCAAGGTTTTATCTCACACGGTTGCCTTTTCTGTTTTGAAGGAGGCCAAGGATAATCAATGCGTGTTGTTCCCCTGTTTGCGCTTCGTGGCGTTACCTGCATGTGATGTTTCAGTATTAATTCAGGGACACCCCAGTTCCTTGGAAAATTCTGAGGGCTTGGGGATGTGGCAAATAATGTAAGTTACAATTCGTGGGCGTGGACTAGTTATAAGTTACATTGTTTGAGGCCATTTTATCCTCGGTTGTGAGGCATCATTTGGTGTGCGTATAGTCAGGATGGTGTCCATATTGCATTCCTGGTTACTCGGGGGGGGTCAAAGAATGTATGTGCTCCACCGTGCCTCAAATATGTAACTTACATTTTTGAGGTCATTATCCAGAAAATGACCTTTGGGGCCTGAAAAAATGTAAGTTACATTATTTGAGGCCATCTCGAAAAAAGAAAAGTACTGATATACAGGTTGGGAGGCCATCCGCAAAGGAAAATGTAACTTACATTTTTGACGTCCCCCCCGGTCGGGATGTTAGGGACTGGAAATAAAGCTATCGGCTATCGGCAGATTCTTCTGATTCGGATCCAACGGGTAATTATTTGAATCAGAACCATGGCAAATCAGAAGAATCTGCCGATAGCCGAAACCAAACCTGATTTGGATTCTTCATTATTTGATCGGTTTTTTTTTGGAATCCAAACCATGACAAACCACCTGCCGAAGATGGGACACCTTCGAAACCATTGAGGCGATGGAAAGATACACCACACAGGGGCTCCTTTTTCTTGTCAGGATGAACCTGGTTGGGTTTGGATCTATTTCAGGTACTGCATAAGGCATGCCCCGAAGCATCCCTCCAAGACATAATTACCCCACGCGCAAGCATCCCAAAACGTTCCCTATTGTATAGCTGAGGGGTTGAGCAAGTCAAAAAATGAACAATATAATATGTATGATAATCAGTGATTTCCACTGTCTACAGCAAATATCAGCTTCTGGGCATACCAGCCTCGAAACTGACGGCATGCACATGCCATGACGCGCCAATCATATATTCTTGCATTTGCTCCGCGAGCTGAGGCTTACATGTCTCGTGTTCAAGCATCCAGCTATGAGACCTGGTCGAAAAAAACCGTGGGACCGAGGGGGGCCGAGGACCATTTGGAGGAGTCACCCCGTAGATGATGTATTTCATGCGTCTTAAAGATGAATCCATGGTTCTTGAACTTTTTCACTTTAAACCAACCACAAGAGTGAGTTGGGAACATGATGTTTTAATATATTGATTTATTTGGATTAGGGGGTGCCAAAGGTATGTGTATAGATGTATATGCATATATATATATACACTGTATACAGTTTTAGTTATAGAAGAGTTCTGACTACCACCCCACCCCGGACCAAATGCGAAGCCCCTTGATATTCAGCTGAGGAATGGCCCAAACATGTCCATGGTCTTCAGAAAAAGATTGTCTCAAAAGATGAGTTTGTAGAAAAGGTTTGCAGAACTGAGGAGGGACGATTCTGCAAGCAAGTTCTAGTCGCTTCTCTCTCCTTTTTCTCGGGGTGGGACGTGTTTTGAGGATGTCTCTTCAACCTATCACCTAAGCACACGCCCCACTTAGCCAGCTGCAGCACCTTTTCGTGTTTTTGATAGCGACCTGATGAAGCCCATCAAGATGTCAGATGTCAATGATGGGGCCGTGCCTTTGAATGCGTGGGATCTGGAGGTGCTTTAGGTTCCCAACGTGGCACACCAAGGAGATCTTGTTATCCCAGCCTCTCTCGATGTGGTCCTGGGCTTGCAGTGTACCTGACTCTCCATTTCTTTGGAGTCCAGACTGCGCAGCTTGCAGGCATTTCCCACACAGGGGCTTTCAACTAGACAAAGCATTTTTGGGCACAGAATCTGCAGTATGAACTGCAAGAGGGCGTTCCTTGCAACAGTGCCGACGAAACAAAGGGTATCCCAGTTGCTGCGCATCTTTGACTGCCTAGGGTATCCTTTCATCCCGGATTGAAATCGCTGTGACCTCGCCAAACCGGCTTGAACGCCCCGGGAAAAAAAGTGCCAGACGTCATCTACTTTGGAGTGTGTTGCCTCTCAGGCCAATGCAACATCCTCCCAAGCTTAAGATACAATCATCCAGCAATGGGTTGGATACGTCTGAGAACAGCTTAAGCCAATGTGACTAGAAACGGCTTCTCCAGGTGACTAGAAATAGATCATTTGGGGTTGGCGTCTCCACGTCTCCACGTGCAAGAACACCCAGGCTTTGCTCTCATCGCCCAAAGATCACCTCTGAGGCATGTTGCGAACCTGAGGAGGGCCATTGCAAGCGACCTGACGAGCTCTTTGTGCAGAAGGTGCAAGCTAAATTTCTAGGGTATCGAAGACGGTGTTCCAGCATGTTCCAGCTGGTTTTTCGAAAAGAACCGATCGAAGCGACACAAGTGCCCTCCACAAAGCACCAGTTCGTCAAAGGAGTCTTGGATGGTTGTTTATGGGGCTATGCTTGTTGATTTACCTGGCCAGATCTCGGAAGATTGGGTGGCACCCGACCACACATGCAGCACCCAACATGTTTGCTCTCTAGTTGCCCCTTCGTTTTGACCTCCAAAAGCGGAAGCGTTCATGATGAACGTATATTAAAATGGGAACTCTGAATGTCCATCCGTGTTCATCTCCCACGTCCAGTTCTGCATTTCGAGGCCTTCCTCAGCTGTTGCTACAGCGTTTATGCTCGGCGCACCTTTGAGGAGCCGGAGGAGGACCCCGCTGGGCAAGTCTCGAATGCCCTGCTCCCGTCAGTTCTGAGACCTTTTCGTGGGGACCTTGCTCCATCGCCACATAGCTGACATAGACGTATTACGTGGCTCCTTGGTCCTTGACCCTTTTAATTGGCCTTAAAACCATCCAAGAAACACCAACTTTGTAGCAATTAGGCATGGAGAAAGATGGAGAGTCGATGGGCACGACCCCAAGTTTGGTGTTTCATTTGATGTTTTTTTTAATGTCAACCCCCCATCTCGAAGACATCCAGGAATCGAATGTTTTCTCCATAACCACCTCGATTGGTCCGCTGAAGCACGACTCTTTGGGGACTTGGACTCGTGCTTCGGCCCGACTCACTGCCTTCACGTCTCAACTCGTTGAGTTCGCCTTTCCATCGACCTCGCAAAAAGGGCCGCCAGTGCCATCGAATCTTCTGGATCTTTCTGCGCAGAAAGGTTCTTCCAAACTCGTGCTTGGGCGAAAAAGAAGACTGCGTCAGAATGGCTTCGCCGTTGGCCCGCCCTTCGACCCAGTCCTCACGACCGATCGACGGTCGATCGGCGGTCGCTCGTCCACCACGGCCACGCTGACGGTCCACTCCGCAGGCCTTGGAGGCGCAGATCCAACGGCACTTGGAACCCCTGCGCCCCTCGCGCGCGGCGATTCAACGCCTGGGCCCCACGCTGTCGTGGCACCTAGGAGGCGCCTCTCGGGCGCATGGAGCCTTGGACGGAACGAGGGGGACGGACGAGCCTGGTGATGGATGAGGGGAGGCGCCCCCAGCTTGGTGGTGCGGTGTGAAGCTGCTTGGATGTCAGAATTTGGTTTTCGGTCTATCATTGTATCATGGTGTATGCTAGGGATGTCTTGTCATACGGCAGATCCCTGCATGAGAAGGCGTGAAGATGTCCAAAGGGAAGCAAAGGGATAGTTCTTGAATTGTTTTGGGCCCCTGTGCGAATTATATTCTCCTAGGCTTCCACCACCATTGATTTAATAGCCTTCAATTACCGAACAACATGTTCTCTACTATCGATTTTGCACAACGACAGCTCAACCATTTACTGTATTCCCTGCATGGCCGTGGAAGGCTAGGGAATTCAGTCCGACTATTCAACATCTTGTGTTCTTGTATCCCGAAGCCACGTCCGGCAGAGCGCCTTACATCCGGCATCCCAGGATGTGTCATCTCCATCCACCCAAACGGCAGCATTACGACGTGCCCGGAAGAAGTCGCTTGCCATGGCTTCGATTGCTCCTTTTTGCGTGCAGTGGTTTTGGCACTGGAGGTGATTCAAGCGATCCATCCACTGCCGCCACTGGACCCTTGGCAGATCTTGGCAGAAAGAGAGAGGGAGGGCCGACGAATGTCACCACTGTGTTATTTAGTTTGTGTGATTCGATGCTAGTTGTCATCGTGTAACCAAGTGTAACCCTTTGATCTGTTGGCCGTTGGCCTGGACAAGCAACCATCTTGAATTCAGCAGATACCTGGACAAGTGAACCAGTGAAAACCTTTCTGGAATTAGTTTGAGCCAACTAAGGACTTCGTGCTGAATGCAGGAGATGAAACCTTAGAGAACACCTTGCTGGAGGCCTGGCGCAGCGAATCAAGCTCAGGAAGTTATCTTTTTCGTGCTGCTCTGGATCTCCTGTTCGCTGGTATTAATTAAAGATGTTTAAGGGGGGCTGTACATGTTTTAACCTCAAATGTGTTTGCCTTATTGATGTCCCTCACCCGGAAAGGGTTACCCACCCAATGTTGAAGGCTTTGGGTGAGGTTTTTTCGGATGCTACCCATCAACGGCCAAGAGGGGCCTTGTGGCCTCGACACCTTTTTTTGCCGAAGGTCCCCTGCAGGTGGCGCACCCCATCAATCTTCGTGCTGTCCTCGATAAGTCAATGCGTGTTTGCCAACGCTATCAGGTTTAGCCAACGGCTACACCTAGATGCGGGCGTCCGTTCGTCCAGTGCGACCAAAACCCCTCAATAAGTAGCCAACTGACATGCAGGCCTCCCCAAAGAAGACACCGGAACTAGCTTTCAAGGCCCTAGAAGTCGACGGATGTTTGGCACCGCCAAAGTAGAGACTGAGACCAATTCCCCTGCATGTTATATACAAGCAAAAGGTTCCCTGTGACTCCACACACACATGGATATATATATATATATGTGTGTACATACATACACATGCAGTTATACTTTAATACAAACAAAATCAACTGAATAGGCTCTATTTAGGTTAGCTGACCTAGATTCATTGCTACTTCATTCCCCTGTTCATCCCCTACTCCTTGAGTTCGTTGGGCGTCCTGCTTTCCGGTGTGTCACCGGTTCTTGATGCAATCAGAAAGACCCACTGAAGGGGGTTGCAGTGACATGCATTTGTTACTTGTCCCAGCCCATGATCCATCAGTTGTATGTGTTCCACTGCCGATCCACCGTGTTCCACTTATGTATGTTACCCGGTTCGATGGTCCACGTCCCACTCCGCCTTGGTTGAACCCACCGACCATCCTCAGTGCCAGGCGCCGGTCTTTACCCGTGGAGGGACTTGGTGGACACACACGTTGACCTTGCCGTTTGAGTGGCAGATGCATCCAACACAATGCGTTCGTACGATCAAGGTGGGAATGAATGCCATGGGTTCCTTTGCTTGCATCGCTTTGTTTGTTTTAATGGCCATTCTGCGATTCTTGCAGGTAGCTGTGGTGCATTAGTTTTCAGGATCTCCCGTTTGTGGCAATGTGTGTCACGAGCATGGCGTTCTTCTATATAAACTTATGTTTGCTGTTTCCCATGTTGGCTTTCAATTTGCAACTCTTTTTTGCAAAAAGCTGTGCTGGCCAGATGTTCCGGAAAGGCTTCAATGAACTAGCTCGGGCATCCACCAAAACTGGGCGTCTTGAACGGTCCCGGCACGTCAGTCCGAAGTCTTCAGTGTTGGGGATGACTCTGGCCAAAAATGCCCCTGAAACAGAACCACTGCCACTAACCACTGTTTCATGTGTTTTGTCTCAAGAATGGCTCTTTTTGGAAGGAAACACATCTCACTATCCGCCGGAGTCCTATTAACGTGGACAACAATCAGCGAACAGGAGGGCTTACTCCATCATGGAACTCTGACGTGTTTTCTGCATGATCATCGATCAATGACCGGGTCCCGGATAATGTTTGTGTTGGCAAAAGATGTTGATAGGTGGCCAGAGTAGGTGGCCATCTTAGGTCTCCATACAATCCCTTTTTGATGTTGATAATAATTCGTAGGTGGCCAGAGTTTTGTCGGTTTTGTGATACGGTTGATAAACCCGGCCTTCTGCATAAGCTATCACCCTTGGCGGAACTCCTACGAACTCCTGACATCTGCAGTTGCCTGATCCTCATCCATACGTTCATTGAAAGACTGGTCTAGCCTGGTCATAGCCTTTGAGGTCTCATCAAGTGGGAAGACAGGAAGCCAATTCTCATTTGGCGTGGCTCTCATTCAAACTTGTGGACACCACATTGTGTCTTGGAGGATTTGGTTGCACACTGTTTGGACGAAAGAGAGCTTACTTGGAAATCTTGGAAGGGGGGGGTTGCACTAGTGGATTTTCCTTGAGATATGCAAACCGGACATTTATGGCACTCTTGTTTGGGCTTCTTTCCTACGCAGGCTCCAAAAAACCTACGACCGTTTGCGAGCTGCTAGGCAAAATCTACAGGGCGGCTCGTGAGTTTCACATGTTGGAGCGCTGTGTGACTTCCTTACCTCCGCATGGCTCGCCCCGCGAGCCCATCTGGAACTTCAGCACCTGGCTGCAGATGCCGCGAGGGCGCTTGATCATGTGGCCCGGAAGAAAAGCAGAAAGATTGGGAACATGAATATTACGTAAACGCATGGCATGCCAGCTAGCATGCCAGCTAGCGTGGCAAAATATTGAGATATGCTGGGCGTATCAAAGGGTATCAGCTCAGAGTGCCCGGACCAAAGATGGACAAACAGCAGGAAGAACAGGAAGCATGAATAAACCCTAATGAAATCAGTTGGACTGCAATGGATTTTCCTCAAATAGGTTTATATACCCGTGAGGGGGGGTTGACTTCTGCTCTCGCTTCTTTTGCGGTGTCTCCGGCTGTTTGGCTGACCAAGCACAAGAGCTTAGATAGACTGGCCTCTGTGATGCGTGCACAAGTGGGCAAATGGTCCTCCGTGGAAAAAACGTTTGTTATCATAATCATTTGGAAAATCTTCTTTACAGCATTCCCAGCCACTAAACATAAGCAATTCCAGGGTGCTTGTGGGCTATACTATTGCAGATGTTCAATCAAAATACAGGCTGCTGTGGTCCTGCTTACTCAAGAATGCAAATAGGGAGAAGGAAGAGATATATATATATACCGAAACAAGAGCCCCGGGAAGAAACATTGTATCATTTGCAAGGACACTACTAGGTTGGAGGCCATCTACTAGGGTGGAGGCCATCGCCACTAGGACGCTGGGGTTTGTTCGTAATTCCTGTTGAGCCAGACCTAAGCGCAACCAGGCGGGCCCCTGGAACACTGGACCTGGCTTTGATAACATGCTACGAGCCGTCCCCTGCTCTCATCACGTTGCATTGCATATGTTGCACTCGGGATGGAGCGACCGCAAAAGGATAGAAACCCACGGAAGATGTTCAGATCAACATGTTGTTCTCAAATGTTCCAACCTTTACCTCCAAAATGCAAGGGTTTGGAAGATTTGGACCTTCTTTCTTGATTACCCAGAGTAGCTCTTCAGACCCCTTTTACAAAACCGGATCCGACTCGCGGCGAGGGGGGCACACCCAAGTCCGAGGCTGAGCCGCTTCGTCGACTTCGTGGATGCCAAGCTGGTGGACTCCAAGCTAGTGCCCATGCGCCTTGGTGTGGGGGTCGTTTTCCCCCCGTTTGTTGCACAGCAAGTTGTGTCGTAGAAGCGACGACTGGTGTGGCGTCTTGACTGGTGTGGGGCTCCCGTGGGCTTGTCGTTTTTTGAGTGGGGGGGAGGTGTTTTTTTGCGGTGTTTCAATCGGAAGCTCAGCAGCACCAGCAGTTCTCTTGAACCCCCTGCTTGAATGATTGGGTCAATCTTCAACCTTTGAGTGGGGGATTCCAACCCCTGACTGGGGATCCTGCACCCAGTCCCTGAGGAGCCCTGACTTGGAGTCCTTCTTGCGTGAAGAGCAGCTCTATGGCGAGCGCATTGAGGCTGAAGCCTTGGCACAGTACAAGTGCCCAAGCTTGGATCCAAGAGCTCAGGTGGAGCAACCAAAACCACGCGGAAAAGGAGAGGATCCATTCGGAATCCCCCGAATGACGGAGGCACAGTTGGCCATTGAAACTCCACAGCTGAGGATTGACAACACGTGGGATCCAATGGTTCCTCTTTCTAGAGGAAAGGGCTGTTCAAGGGGTCGACTCCTCTAAGAAAATTGGATTGACTATCAGTTCGTGCTCTTGTCCAAGTGCCTTCTTCGACGAAGTGGAGATCAGGTTGTTTCTCTCTTGTGTGTGCCATGGGAATGCAGGTCTTGGGGACCCACCACTGACTCTGGTAGAACTGGTTGCCAATTCCAAGTCAAAACCCAAATGCGTGCAACCTTTCCACACAGCGCACACAGCACCAATGCTGCGCTGCGCTTGAACAAATACGGTTTGAGTCATTCATTCACTCAGGTATCACATTGCCATTGAGGGCAACTGTGCGGCGGACCGCGTGTGCTGGCAACCCTTCTTGGGGTCCGTGTTGTTGCTTCCCGATGGCCCCTGGCAACAACTGCCCACCGTCCGCACCATGGAACCCTGGGTGCACTACGTCCCAGTCTTGCCACTCGGACGGCGGCCCGCGGACGCAGATGAAAAGCAGGAGTTCAGTTTTGGATTTTGGACCGACGAGCCATTTGGTGATCAATGGTTTGAGCATGTACAGTTCTGAACTAGTCAATAGATGCGATTGGGCACACAAGATCGGAGAACCTGCTTGTTCACGTGCTTGTCCACCTCACCTCCCTCGCACCTCTCAGCCTCTTTCTTTCTTAAGCACAGAGGACCCAGATTTTCGAGGTTCAGAGCCACAGAGGTCAACATCCACCAAGGTCGCGACAGGTCGAAGAACAAACCACCATCCCATTTTTTGGAGGAACCTGCTTTTTCGGGTCGAAACCACCCATTTTTCAAGCTCCATGTTTACTTTGCAGGGTTCATTCATCCATATTCGCCCCATCCGCCCAGGTACGATCTCAGCGATCTGGTGGACAAGTTGCTGTGGCTCCGCGCCCACGATGCCGAGGCCAAGCAAATCGCCCTCAATGCCGTGGCCTTTGCACATCGGCATTTGACATGTGATGGCAACATCTACTACTTGGACCGCTTGTTCCGAGCCTATGCCGCCAAGCTTGTTCCTTGATCGATGCTGGGCATGGCTCTGGTGTGGTCAGAAACACCACGTTTTGCAGTGTCAAGCGAGCCATGTGGGTGGTTTATCGGATGATCTTGGGCTGGCAGTCTGCCGAGCCAACGGTGTCTTCCTGCGTTCCTGAGAGGCATATGATCGAGGCAAAGAAGCACTTCATTCAGGACGACGATGGCATCACGATGATCCACCGCATCGCTCCTGTGGGCGAATTCCACGCGCCTCGCACCGCCAGTCTAGCGGTCGAATGCCGGACAGAGGGACGTGGAGGAAGCGAAAAGAAGCTACTTGTAAAAGAAGCGCCGGAGCTAGGTCGCAGGTCGCAGGCTGTGGTTACACGACGTCTCAGACGGCAGGATGTGATATTGGCACTTTTGTTTTCTGGCCTTTTTGAGGCTCATTCAGGTGGAGTGGACAAGGCATGAGAGAAGGCACGCGTTTTTTGCAAAGTGTTTGTTGGCCAGGCTGCTGGGCAATGCAAGCAGCTGACTAGCGGAATGATAAATCTCTTACATCCAGCCAAGCATGAGAAACACCCTGACAAGCAGAGCTCCTTCGATGTCAGAAGAACAGATGGGCGCGAGCTGCTTCATGATGGCCAAGGAGGCTAGAGAGAAGTGTCTTTTCCGAAGGACCCCCAGAAGCTCAGAGCAATACAAAAGGATTCTTTTTGAGAAGGGCTGCATGGAAAGCAAGGGGTTAAAAGAGGTAGGACGCATGTCATGTGTTCCTTGGCATGTGGCATGTTGGTTGCCTGCTCGCCTTCAAGAGGTAGGACCTTCCTCCTTCTTTGATTCTCCCTTCACTTCGCTCTCAGGCAGATCCGATGGCAACCTCAAAGGCATTGGCCAAGTGGGTGGTGGCCAGGGCTGTGGGAAAAGGCCTTGGTCTGGAGATGCAGGACGCTGGGTGGCTTCCGTTGGGAGGCGGACTACCCCGCTCACACAGGCGGTCGACCAAGTTCAGTCAAGTTCGGCCCCTCCAGTTCAAGAGCTTGGTTGACACATGGCTGTCTATTGCCACCCCCCCCAACGCACGAGCTGGATTTGAGCATGTAGCCATGCACTGGTAGTACGCAAATCATTGAATCCTATTGGATCCCAATTTCCCTGCCTCCCACATACCCCCCCGCAGTTCAGAATTCTGGTCCAGCCTCCTCTCGACCGACCTCGATCCCCATCCGTGTTAACGGTTCGGCCTTTCGGCTTACCACGAAGCAACGACTGCTGGCTTTCAGCTGGCGGCCCCCCCGAGTGCCCTCCATATCCAAGGAAAGTGATTAGATGGAGGTGGATGGTGAGGAGTCACACACCCTGTCATTTGAACGATCCGCCCGACCTTGGTGTTGTTTGAACGCACGAGCTCCAATCTCCAGGAGTCCTGTCCCAGCCAGGGGCTTAAAACCTGCGTATTCAAATTCACAGGTTTTAGGGGAGGTTTGGCCACGCATTCACCAACAACTATGAGGATAGGCCCGGAGAGGTAGCAGTAATCAACGGGCAGCTGGTTTTAATGGCTTTCCTTCGCTTTCTTGTCAATTGGGCCAACACCAAGAAGGAGTGATGTGTGTGTGCCATCAAGTGCCGCCACAGCAGGTGTCACAGAGCAAACGAATCACCGGAACCTTTCTTGCCATTGCACCTGACAGGGAGAAAAAAGCGTGGGAATCATAATGCACTGTTCAAAACGGAGACATGCTGAGGCCTCTCTACATCTGCAGCTTCTAAGGTGCAAATCTGTTTGGGAGGAGATTCAAACAACAGGGTAACCTGGAGCAAACGGGAGCCAATGATTTGACAAAGCCAAGTCTGATGTAGACATCCTCAATGTGATTCAGTCCCCAGGTGAAACCTGACCTGGGACTCAGGCTCCTGCTCTCAAGAAACGCTTAAGCCTGTGGATCCTCTCAGGTAGAACAACCAAGGGGTATCTCCAACCACATCGACCCCTCTATTTCACCCATAAGGGCATGAATCATCGATACAAGCTCTTCTTTGAGAGACTTTGCTGGTTTTTCTCTCACGGATTCCCTCACGACTACGCGGCTGATCTTTGGGAGGGGTTCGTTGGACTGTGAGCAACCCCGGCTGCAAACCTGTGAAAAGCTCCAAGCTACAAGGAGCACTTCCGGAGTGAAAAGTGGCTCAGGAGTTTTGACACCCCTGCGGTGGCTCAGGATTCGAAACATGAACGTGTTTGCTGAAGTCACAAGTCACAAGGATATGACTTGGGCAGAAATAGGAGCCCGTCCAAGTGCCTGAGGTAAGACCTCAGCAGGTCTTCCGTTTGCTCCAAAGGGTTTTTGGGGCAGTCCAGTTCTGACCCCTCTCCATCCCCGCCATTTCCACCCCATCTGTCGACCAGGCCACTGTCGAGACGGTGTCCACCACCGCCACCGGGGCCTCACTCTTGACTGAGGTGGGAGCACGGGTAGACGCACGATTCGAGCGCACGGTTTGAACAGCGGTGTGGAGGGCTTACCCGGACAACCATCCATCACTTTGTGTTTTCAGAACTTTGTGCTGGGCGTTGCTGGGTGATGAAGCTTTTCGGTGGTGTTTGAAGAGTTGTTTCGTTCCATCCCTATTTTGGAAGATGTTGGGGAGCGTTTGCTTCTGCGAGCTGGCACCGATGCTCAGACGAGAGGACTCGGTTAGACATGTGGGTGTCAGATGACCTGGGACTGAAATGTGGGTTAGAAGACGAAGACTGTTGGAAGACTGTTACAACCCCCTAATTTGGGCAAGATCATGTCGAACCCAGGGTTCAAAGTGGTTCTTCAAGGCGTTATAGGGTGATGTTCCCTGTGCGATGTTGGACAGGAAAACAGGAGCAGCCCGCGTGAAATCGCTGAGATTGACAAAAGATGTTCAGCATATGTAATTAATAACCAAGTTAGATTCATGCATTCATTGTAAGTTCTCGGTTGGCAGTTACCAAAAAAATCAGTGTCGAGAGGTGGCATGACTTGGTTTACAGGCTGGAGTTCCCTTTCTGTAGGAAGGATGAAGGCACTAATTAGCGCAGCGCAATCTCGGGGTCATGACCACCATCCGCCCCATGCGCGGAAGCAGCTGACCATACATGGAAGGCTTGCCTGGCACGAGTTCCACACGTGATCAACCCAGAGCGGTTGATCCAAACTGCTTTCGCTTGAAGGTCATGCTGCACCCCCCCATAGGGTGTTTACTCAGAGATTGGTCTAAGAACCACTAAGAACCCAGTTAAGAACCCGTTTAACGATGAATGTTTTTGCTTGAGTCAACTGAGACTGGTTTGTTTCGAGATGTTTCGAGCGTCATTTCTCGGTTCTTATTGTTTTTTGCATGTTTTTGCTGCTTTCCATATGTTGTGCTTTCCTCATGTTGGCGTGAAACTATAACAAGGACCCTTGTCGAGTATCATCAAATGCCATCATAGCATACAAAATGAATCAAAATGACAGGGCTAGGGAGCGGTTGAACCTTGGTGACTTTGTCTTGAGTTCCGAACCTTCTTCCTTTTTTGTTCCCCATCTGCAGTGATTTCTCCTTGACAAAGTGTTCCTGAGAGGGGGGGGCAGGACCAACACGACGACGCTGGTCGGCCGGCCACCGGTCATACCGAGGTGCCCCGTCCAGAAGCACGGTCGAAGAAAGTGGCTTGGATGGATTAAAGGGTGACGATGCGGGCGATCAATCCGGCTACCAAGCGCAAGGTCACCGTACTAGCCACGGATTTGTAGTCGTCCAGAAGTACGGCGATCACAAGGTCTCCACATAACACCTGAGCGCTCACCTTTGGCCCTTTGTGCTTCTCAAGTGGTGGCGAATAAAGGGAAGACGGCACAGGAAGGGCTGATCCATTTGCACTTGGGATTGCGTGATTTGTTGCACGGGTAGTGTATTTCACACAGTTCCTGTGACAAGGATTTCGATCAAGACATATCAAGACCAATTACGCAGACTTGAATCCTGTTTTAAGTCCATTGGGCTGTGTGGCAGCCCAATGACTACTGTCGAAGGCAGAAGGTCAGCCTCTTTTGAGATTTGAGACTGGAAAACGCATGCAATCACATTGCAGTCCCTGTGGCTCCTGTGGGACCAACGAAGTGCTCTTGGGTCGCCGTCGGCTGAATATTTAAGACCCGGACCCGGCTCAGAACCTTCCCGCGCGTTGCAGAAGTCAGCACCAAACCTGGAAAATTGGATGAGACCGATGTCCAGAAAACCTTTTGAACGGAAGGTCACGGTTGGTTTTTGTGAGGTATGTGTCATTCATGTTTCATTCCAAAGAGGCATGCCAGCCTCTGAGCATATGCTGCGGGCCCTGCCAAAGCAACTGTCCCCTTGAGAGCCCCAATAATAAGTCCCGCAGGTTCAAGACCTGCACCATGGGTTTGTTGATGCTTATTGGCCAATGGCACCGGGTGTTTGTTTCGATTGCAAAGCTTGGGAGAACGCATTTGGCTCCACGGGCTCCACCCAAAAAAGGACTGTTCAGCAGATGCTCCTGTCTCTCCACAGTTCATCCGCCGCCCGCTCGCGAGACAGTGAGTCCATCTCATTCAGTTCGTAGCGAGAAGAACTGAATCCCCTCGATTGAACGATTAAGAGTATCCCTTAATCCTCCATCAACGAATCGAACTATTCTCGTATTCAATTGAAACTCGCCAACATCATGACGGAAGAGAAGCTTTATTGTCTTGGGATCTGAGACCGTGTGCTTCTATCCAACAGTCCCGTAATGGGACACGCAATGGGAGTGGAAAACGGCCAGAGCGACATCCCTACATGGATTCTGTGAGGTCAGGGTGGGTATCCCACTAATGCAGACTCTTGATCCTTTTGAGCCCCTATAACGAAGAGGTGTTACACTCCAAATGTGGGGGGGGGTCATTCATCAAGAGCCTACAATCAGTTATATACAGTAAATGGGGGTTAGTACATGGTGGTACCTGGGACCTGGGTCAAACTCACAAATTCCCTTCCAAAAATCCCCAGGCCCGGCCAGCTCCACCACATCCAGCACTGGGCCGAATGCAGCCTCAGCGGACGCCACGGATCTTCACGCCCGTGCTGCGGGAGAGGCCGCCATGACCGTGGAGCAGTGGGCGACCAGGTCCTTGGATTTTTGCGCATCACTGCAGGATGAGCCAACATGTTGGTTTAGCCCTACATCAGGGTGTCATGCGAAGAATGGTGGCAACAATAGCCAACATGTTGGTTCGACAGAGGTTTCCCTACATCAGGTTTGTCATGCGAAGAATGGTGACCACTTCATAGACGGAATGTCAGAATGGGTTGCATTTGT